GCAGCTGCTCTTTTGGCAATGAACTTTGCCAGGACATCGCAAGACTGGAGGCCGACAATGCAAAGATGATCAAGGAGATTGAGCAGATGCAGGACACGGCTCCTGTGGTTTTGGGGTTGTGGGCACCTGAGCTCCAAAATTCAGTAGCCTACGTAGCCTATGTAACTCTAAAAAGTGGATGGAGTAACAGATGTGGCAAAGTCACCACAGCATACCCAGTCGGGCGAGTCGGGGAGAAGCGATATAGAAGCAAGCATGCAAGAAAGCTCACGCAAACATTCACCATGCATTTAGCACTCATCAGCATCACCATCATCATCATCGAGAAGGATCAACCACACACCGGACAAGCTCCAGTGTTGCTGTGTTGCTCAGACAGCTGACGCCACGATCGCTTCATAGCAGAATGAATCGCCACATTTCGTCTGAGTTCTTGCATATGGCCGTACTGCGGCGAGCTGCCGAGCGAGTTTGCATGCACATCATGGCTCTGGTGGCTTCCTTCAGGAGCTCACTGCTGCTATCCAAGTCCTCCAGGCAAGCCAGAGAAAAGCATTAAGAGCTCAGATTGCAACTTGGCACTCGTTTCTTCTCTGCAGCTTTCTCTTGTCGAGGGCTTCAAGCTGCCGAAAAGCATCACCACTGCGCCGTCCACCAGTGAGAAACCGTTGGCCTCCCAGCTTGACAAGTACGGAACCCAAGTACGGAACCCTGTTTAGCCGAGAAGGTTCTCCTCTGCTCACGGCTGCCGATGAAATCCCGCCACTCCGAAAGACATGCTGTTGCGCACGGCTTTGTAGAGTTCTCATCTTTAGGTCTGCATCAAAGAGGAAGAGACGGGGCAAGGTGCGGACCCTTCTTCTCCCTTCTGATGAAGACTGGCGCGCAATTTGTTCATGGCAGGGCGCAACTGGTGAAAACAGCTGAGCGTGAAGCACGCGCTATATCTCTTTCTATTGGTGTCCAGGTCTGTCGTGAAGGTCACGAAATGCCCTTTAAAGTTCGAAGGTGAACAAGGAAAGTGCGGATTCAACAGCTTGAAGTCCAGTTTTCGCAGCTTTTTTTGAGTCGCTGCTTTACTGTTGGCGCTGCACCTTCGAATCTGGGACAGACACGTAGCTGTAATCTGCTCAGGAGTGACATGGGCGGCGGAAAGTTGCAACTCTAGGGACACTGCGGCGTGCAGTGTTGCAAAAGAGAGCATGGAACTGGGCAGGCAAGCATTGCTCTTGCTGCATTGAGAGCCCGTGCAGTGTGGATCCCTTGAAGGGACGAGCCTCAGTGTGTTGGCCATGCAACAAGTTAGGCTCAAGCCACGTTCAGGTGAAGCAAACACATGCCGATGTCCAAGCACACCTGCTTCAGCACCAGCAAGCCTGTAGCAAAACCTTGCTGCCTTTGTTCGTTTGACTGAATCTCCACCGGCGAATGTCTTCTAACGAGGCCGTGACCGACAGGTTGACATTCTGTGTCTGCCGGCTGATCCTTTGCACAGGCTGGTGCCGTCACCAACCAACCCGGGTCGAAGCCTCTACGGCAGTCTGCAACTTTCTTCAGTCACCGCAGTTTTGGAAGATCTGTCTACCAGAGGCCCTTGGAACGGCTAAAGATCGGCTTCAAGGCCCGGGAGCTCCGATGAACGTTGTAAACCGTCGCTCTCCATTCGCTCAGAGCTTTGTGCCCAAAGGATTCCTGCAACTGCTGAGTAGTTGTTGGTGCTGTGCTTCCCTTCCTGGAATCCGTCAAGGGCCTGACCAAGAACTTCGAGACACCTGCGGCAGCTTCAGAAGAGGAGCCCACACAATTTGCCATCTGTCTGGAGTCAACTGCTGTTATTGCCTCACACCAGTTGAATCTAAAGTTTTAAGCCTTTGTAAGGCCCCGCCTCAACCACAACGGTCAGAAAGGGATGTAGAGTTTCCCTGACACCCTCAACGAGCCCAGAGGATTACGGAGGCTGAGGAAATCGTTGGCTTCGGGCCGGGGTTTTTGAGAAGGACCTTATTAGTCCTTCACTGCACACGCATTCCAAGCCGGGTGTAGTAAACACAGGCAAAGCACAAACGCAATCTGTAGACGTCCACTCCAGCATCTCCATCACAGGTACAGGACACTGCCATGGAGCCCAATGCCGCAGGCGCTCCGAGTGCAGTCTGTCACAGTCTGTCATGTGTACTCGTAGATCAGAGCTCTTCCACACACTAGGTATAGGGCCAGGCTGAGCGCATAAAAGCGTCATCCACTCAAGCTCAGACAAAGTGGGGGAAGTCGGGGAGTGCTCCGGGACGTAAAAGGCCATTCCCGACCATCTTAAATGCCGGCGTACACTGACGTCCAGGATTCCTTCGGGCCCAAGAACATCTTGAGAGTTGACACGTCTCAAACGAATCGCTTCGAAGTAAAAGCTGATGTTCTGTGCCACTTCTGAAACAGGTGGTGGAGCCAATATGCCCGGCGCAAAGACTTCTAGAGATGCGGAGGTTTGCGTGCCTTAGCGTGCCTCGCGTGTTCCGTCTTTGAGTTGTGATTTGTTGTGACACGCGCAGCCTTTTACTGTACAAGTGGCCGAAGCGCCCTTGGAATTGCCAAAAGCGAACTCGAAGGCCCATGCGAAGCAGGCAGGGATCACCCGCTGACATTTGGCAGAATGCCGTGACATGCTCTTTGTGCTTTTTTTTGCAAGGTGTTTTGCTGCGCTGATCTGCCTCATACAGCTACGAAGAGCTGGTAGCGAACCTGGGCCTGCAACCCTTCAGCTCCTGTCAGCTGGACATGTCTGGGTCTGCGAGTCCTGTCAGGGCCAGCCTCGAGATGCGCATCAGCCTTTACAAACTTGACATTCACAGGTTGCGAATGCAAAACTCATGCCACCTAGAAAACATCATATACAAAAGTTTGAAACCCGTCGCATGCAGTGGTGACAACAGTCTTCTCGAAAAGGTGTCACGATATGTGTGGGTGAGTTAACAAACGCATACAAGGTCGGTCCCATATACTTGACACTGATGCGCAAGTATCCACTAGGGCACCAGCTGCTTCATAGTTCAAATCCTGCACCAGCTAGAGCGTGCAGACTCATACATAATGAGCAGCCTGCAGTGCACATGCTTGCAAAGTTTGGATGAGACGCAGGCCCACAATTTTCTTGGCGGAGGGCTATTGAACAAAGAGAGAAACAAACATACTTTCAGCTCGACTTGTGTGTTTGAAGTTGCAATCGGTGCTTGAGCAAGCAATGCCCACAAATTGTGAGGATTCATCAGCGCTACAACTTGACACTTGCGATGATGGTGGCCTGGTCCTGGTCCAGGCGGCATCAGCCAAGGAAACTCATGCTGGAACGTTCCTGCGGCACTTCTTGCATGATGATTTTGCAGGTGCGCGGCAGCAAGCGGATAGCCCATCAGGTGCCACACGAGTGAGCGCAAAAACATCCACTGAGCCAAGTTTGGATGAGAAATCTGCATGTGCGCATTGCGTTGCGCGATGCCAGGTCCTTTCTAAGGTGGATAGAAGCGAGTGTCCTTCTGACAGCCACATGCAGATTCGTTGGATGCCAGCACCTTCCTTGCAGTATGGTGCAAACGTTGACAAATCATGGCTGCGGCTTTGTGGGACATCTTTGACAATCATGCTAACTGTTAACACACTGAGCTTTCACGAAAGCCAAGGATCCAACACTTTGTTTGGCTAGCGACGAGAATCAAATTGGCTACTTGTCAGATGCAGGACTTTCGTTCCGAATATACTGATATCTGTACGCTGGCGTCAGGTGACGGCGTGAAGATGATGCTTCGAACCTGCGATGAGTCGTGGTCAAGCCCGGGGCAAGTGTTCACCCAGAATCTGCTGAATGAGGAGACTGAGGACTTTGATGAGCGCATCCGCGCCTCAGCATTGCGCTTGTCAGTTGGGGCCTTCCTGCCTTCACGCCTCGCACATGTGCTGCCCTCACGTGACCGTTAGGTATGTCTGCTGCAGAAGATCTTTGTATCGTTGTCGGCGACGACAATCTGACTGATGGGTCACAGATCTTGCTGCGCCTGGTCTGCAGTGCAGCTCTCTTCCTTCCCCTCGTTATCGGGGGCAACTCCACATTCCGGACCCGAAAGGTCCCCAGCCCCAAGCTGCTGGCTCGGCTTGGAATTCAAGCCCGCTTCCCTCGCACGTGTACTAAACTGGCGCGACCGGCTCAGACATGGGCATGGGGTTGTCGAACCAGGCATGCACAGGCACCCGAAACCAGAGCAAGTTCAGCTAGTTCCCCCGAAGGTACAATGCCCCTCCCTCGTGACCTGAAGATAAAGCCCACGTGTGGATACAGGAAGTCTTGTGCTGCTTCTAGCTGTCAGAAACAGCCCCACAACGTGCACATTCTTCAACGTCTTGGAGCACCGATTGTTCAGGACTTGGTGCAAAGGCGTAAACCCTCAACATGACACGAGTTTATTCATAGTCCATGTCACAAAGGGTGCATTGTAGCGGCAAGAACTAGATCCAGTGACGTGCAAGTTGTTGAGATGTCAGAACGTGGCATTGCATTCGTCACCTTGCGGCACCGCAGACCCGTGGATGGTGACAACATGTCACATCCTCGTTTAAAGACGACATGATCTGACAGCGATCCGTGACAGCATGCAACGCATGTCGGGGGATCACAGGTGGATCACACTTTTCTGTAACATTCGACTGGTGCAAATGTTTCGTACGCATTCCTGTTTCGCCGTCGCCAACCAGCCGGCAGCAGCACAAGCTCAAGACGCCTGCTCATTCTCGCTGTTGCCTGCCGTGCTCATTCAACCGAGGAAGCCATGTAACAAAACGGATACCGACCAAAACTGGGTGCTTTGGAGAAGCTTGGAAGCATGTGCAGGTGAGAGATGAGTAATCAGTTTGGTTGGAGCTCTTGATGCTGCACTTTGTCATGCGACGTAGTCACAGGTCTTCCATGCTTTCGTGTCAACGTTGCCAAAGGCAGCTTTGGAAGTGGTTGCAGCGGCATGCTGTCTGTGACAAACACGAAGCCGCACCCGTACTGTCTAGTGCAGCGCTCAGACCGCTCAGACATGTATCATACTTGAAGATGTTGCGCAGAGGGCATCCAGAGGGCTTTTTGAGGCTTTGCATCCCTTTGAGAGCCGCGTCCGGGCGGCGATAAGACGACCGCATGCGGGGCTCGAGTACCCCACGATGCTCGTGTACCCCCGATGGGATGCTACTGGTGCTACTGATGGGTTCTGGGCCCCATTCTGCCCTGAGAGGCCCCTTTTCGCATGCTCATGATGCACACGGTGCATACCGCCTTCGCCCGGCAGAGCTGGGGCCTTCGTCTGCGTCAATAATGGATGAGAATGATCTTCCCCTGTCCCTCCTTTTGACGCGATGCAGACCAGAAAACTCAGCCACCTCTCGTTAAGTTGCCGGAAAGGTTGTTCACAACAACGACGGCTTTGATGGTGCGGCGGTGGAGCTCATGACATGTGATGGAGATGAGAGCGCCAAGACTTGGACCCCCTGGGTTAAAGAAGGCTAAAGAAATAGATAAAAAAAATGAGGCAGACTAGTCGCAGTGCTTGACCAGAAGCAGTGGCCTCGTACTCCGGTACAGGGTTGTCTGTCTTGTCTGGTCTAGCCATATGACCTAGCAAGAGTTACATACTTCATACGGGCGAAGTCTGCACAGTACTGCGATGGTGGCGGGCCTTCTCTTTGTGTCCGAAGTGGGATGATGTAGCCTGTACATTTTGCATCGGGCTGCCTGGCATCTGAAGTCGAAATCGGCCGAAGAATGCAAGGCTGAAGAGATGACCTGTGGAACCCACGTAAGACCCACACTTTCTGTTCTGCAAACACAAGGATGCCTTCTATTATGCTCTCAGCCCTGAGCATCCTATGCCCGAAATACCCTGGAATTGCACTCCTAGAGGTGTTGTTCCGTTGATGCTTCGTTTTGCCATCGAAGCACGGCGTTGTACCAGCTGCAAGGCATCAAAACGAGAGAGTGAGCTGTCCAGGGTAAGGGCAATGGTGTTTCAGCCATTCAGGGTCCTTCTCCGGGTAGCTTGCTGCATCGTGGCCATTGTTGCAGCAGCGGCGCTTGTGATGTCCTGGTGAGTTTGGTTGTGCTTGTGGTGATGGTGACAACTCAGGTTCAGCGTGTGGACAGAGAAGGCAAGGAAAGCCTTTGCCGAGAAGGCCAGTGCCCATCATTGCAGCGTGTGCACGGCATGGGCCCGGCTACCGCCCCTCCCTCCCCCCCCCTCCCGGGCCCTCCCAAAGCAACCCCACAGAGGGGAACGTCCAATATTTAACGATGCGTTTTTCTTCAGGTTAATGCGTTTTCCTCTGGGTTTTTGCACATATCAGCTTTCTGGGAAAGTTCCCTGCTTTTGTTTCTTGTTGATTTTCTGTGTCGTCGAACAGCAGACACGTGCAATGCTTTTTCAAAAGTTGCGCGTTGTTTGGTCTCTCCTTCTTTGCGCTTTCCATCTCTTGATTTCGTTCTGTTGCTGCTGCTGTTTTCGTGCGCATTGCTGCCTTTGCTTCGGCGGGGTAGGGACGGGGGTTTGGGAATGGGCGGTGTATTTCTAGGTGGCAGTTTACAGGGTTTGGTGGTTTGCACTGCTTTGGTTTTGGAGGTTTAGGTTTAAGTTCGTCAAGAATTGGGCACCTTCTCGGAGTTTCGCGCTTGCGTTGTATGCTTCAACGCGCAGAAAAAGGCGCGCTTGGTAATACGAAGTGCTTAGAATGCCCATTTGCTCAAAAGTCGTGGTTTTGCCCCAAGTAGTTTTGACATGTTTTGAGCTGTTCTGCCTTTGCGCATCAGAAGTGCGGAGGGGTAAACCTCTAAGCTACCAAAATCTTGCCTGCCAGCTGCTTTTCTTTTGAGCCCAGGCATGGGGAGTGAATAGAGGGATAAACCTTCAGGCTACCCCCATACCTCGGCATGGCAAGGCTAGAACTTAGAGGCAATGTCAACATCAGTTGCAGCATGTCATGTAAAGACTCAAAAGCGCTGTATATACCAGCGTTTTGCACATGGTCAGAGCAACATGGTCGTTGCCCCCCCCCACCCATCCTTTACCTGCTACGACGACGCCGACGACGATGCCGACGGCGGCGGAGGCTGCGGCGGCGGCAGCTGCTGCTCCTACTACCACTACCACTACCACTACCACTACCACTACTACCACTACCACTACCACTACCACTACCACTACCACTACTACTACTACTACTACTACTACTACTACTACTACTACTACTACTACTACTACTACTACTACTACTACTACTACTACTACTACTACTACTACTACTACTACTACTACTACTACTACTACTACTACTACTACTACTACTACTACTACTACTACTACTACTACTACTACTACTACTACTACTACTACTACTACTACTACTACTACTACTACTACTACTACTACTACTACTACTACTACTACTTACTACTACTACTACTACTACTACTACTACTACTACTACTACTACTACTACTACTACTACTACTACTACTACTACTACTACTACTACTACTACTACTACTACTACTACTACTACTACTACTACTACTACTACTACTACTACTACTACTACTACTACTACTACTACTACTACTACTACTACTACTACTACTACTACTACTACTACTACTACTACTACTACTACTACTACTACTACTACTACTACTACTACTACTACTACTACTACTACTACTACTACTACTACTACTACTACTACTACTACTACTACACGAGCTCTGCTGACTCTAGTGCCGTGCAGAGGTCACATACGATCCGGTCCCCAAGGATGAGCGAACGCCTACATCCGAGGAAACGGGGTTACACAATGCCAACTAAGCGCAGGACTCATCGCAGAATCCCAACTTTGAAAGTTTGGCACGTTGTCCGCGCTGTAGCTGCCTTCGTCAGCGATACATGGGGAATTCGTGAAGACCATGAAAGATACCTTTGAAATCTTCCGATGCGGGTTCAACCAAGCACCAAGCAGGAGATTGATGAAGAGAAGGGTGAGGCCGATAGGTTGCTTGCGTGTCGTGGCCATGTAGACGCTACTGGAAACTGACCGTACAGAGGGATGTCGAGGAAGCTCATCGAAATTACCTGTTTCTGAGAGTGTTTCGATCCAGGGAGGTGCCTGGGCCAACATCTCAAAAGCAGCCAGCCGCTTCGGCAAGCAGGTCCGGATTCTGGTGTGTTGTCGGCTTGGTGAAGCGCGAGCATGTCTGGTGGTTCACATCCTATGTACTGTTGAGGGGATCAGAATCCATAGGTGTTATCCATGCAAGTCCAACACTCACTCGCAAAGATCCCAAAGCCGAATCAGCGTTGGATCGTTGGAGGTGGCTTCTGCTGCAGAGGAAGCCAAGCAGAACATCGAGAAGGCATCGCGAATTGATCAGATGGTTGTTGTTTCATCTTAGTCACTCTGTGGGAGATTGAAGATCTCAGCGCCCAATCGGCTTGCGTGATAATCGCAGATGGTCCTCGGCCGCTAGCCTGAAAGCCACGCTGCGAACGACACGGCTGTCGCACCAACATTCGAGCTTTCATCGGAGCCCCTTTCAAGCTCAGTCATGTGCTGACATCTTCTAAGAGGCGGTGCATGTCTGTCATGCCAGGCTGCCGAAAAAGCGAAGACGGCAGATCTTACGCAGCACCTGGTCAGAACGAAGTTGCACCAGCCCGTCTACAAAGAAAACAGATGATTGGCTCGATGTCTCAAAATGACAGTCACCACAGTGACTACAGTCTAGAAAACGTCGCAACTTGCAGCTTTCTGGAGTCCAATGCTGAGGCAAGTCCAAGGCTGGCAAAGCGAGGCCAGAAGTGATCAGCGAGGGCAAGGGTCCATGCTCGAGGGTCTGCGACAGGTTTTGCGATGAAGGTAGCAGCTTTCGCTCTGGTTTAGTACGGTGAGTCATGCAACGAAGCCTTAGTATTCAATGGGCTGTGAGGGCTGGGAACGACAGCAGCCAGCAGGCTTAGCAGGTATGGAGGGGATGTCGGGTGTGGGGCCAAGGGGAGGGTCATGATGGTGGCGGGGTGCGGGCCCGCAGTGGACCCTTTGCAGTTTAGGCGCGGGTTCGGTCATAGCTTTCCAGGTAAACTCGCAGGGGAAGGGTCATGAGACGCAGGTGGGCACTGGACCCCTTCCAATTTAAAAAGCCTTGGAAGTGCATTTGCAGATTTTGCAGATATACAGGTATGGAGAGGGTTACGAGAGTGGTTTGGAGAAGGCGTCGGCGGATAGCATCTGGCTTCTGAAGGTTCAGTCTAGTCAGCTCTCCCATGGCCTCGATACAGAAGATGTAGAGAACTTGTACATCTGCGGAACGCCTGTCTCGGATGTCAACAGGTTGCGAAAGGCTTCGGTGCCGCTGCTGACCGTGCCTGCCAAGCTCGGGAGGTCTTTGCCGAGCGTGGAAAGGCCGGGTTAGTGGAGTCAAGCGCCATGGCACGACAGCGCGACATTCTTGTTTTCGGCATTCTGAGAAGTCTCTGGTGCCAGCTACACTGCGGCAGAGCTCAGTGCCTTGACCACGCCAGGTAGCCTCTCAGCTTGCCAAGGACAGCCTGACCGACCCCCGCGACTTAAACTCTCACAACGATCAACAACGGCCGCATGTGCAAAGATGTTATACGATGTCTGGCAATGTGCCGAGGCTCCCAAATACAGAGGGGTAGGGTGCTGATGGGCACTGATGGATTCTGTGGAGAATGACGGTGTTATTTGGTCCCTGCTCAGGGCCCCGCGAGTGCACCATAAGTGCTGCTTTGCGCAGTGTGTAGGACCTGTAGGATACCAAGGCCTGAGCCTTTCCTTCTTCAATCCGCGCTTTTTGCGAGGTGTCACATCAGTTTAGCTAAGCTCAAGCATCTCAAGCAACGTGCCAAGTACGTCATCCCGGAACGCGCGCAGCAACGTTTCTCTAAGCATCTCAGATTGACAATGTATCCTGTACCCCACGCCCGACCCATCACTCACTAGCGGACGTGGCTTCAACTTCTGGCCCACAACTTTCCTTTCGCAATCCTTCACTTCAAAAACCTACTCGCGGAACCAAGTTTTCTTAAACCTCAGCAAAGGAGCTCCATGGAAGGGTTCCACGGAAGGGCTGTGTCTTGGTTATTTCATGTGTAAAATCACGCAAAATCTCTTGTAGGAAAAACTAGGAGCCTACCAAAACCCGCTGGGGTACATCTCTGCAGGACTTGGGCAGCAAAGCGGCCACCAAGGCAGGCGAGGCGAAGGTCCAGGCAGCATCTAAAGCAAGAGAGGCCAAGGACGGGGCACCGGGGGCAAAAGAGGGCTCCCCCCCCCCCATTTTGGCATCAGCTTGCATCATACATGTTCGTGCAATCAAATTGGTGCACCTCCTGCACTTCTGCAGGACAAAGCCGCAAGTGTGGCCGGTGCTGCAAAGGATAAGCTGGCGCAGGAGCGCCTCTTAAAATAGCATCACCAGACAAGCGTTCACTTAACAGACAGTCTCAGCATTGCAGACAAAGTACAATGCCTGAACTGCGAAACTTCTGGAGACGCAATGTTGCAAACAAGGACTTGATTCTCAATGTGAACACACGCCTGAGCGAAGCAAGACAGTACTCGTGACGCCACAGTGTCACAGCCCATTGCCCCCAAACTCTTGGTGCGATCGCCTCGTAGCCTCTCCTCCAATTAGATGTTCGCAAGAGGCAAAAGAACTCATCCAAGCACAACAGAGGCCGGCGAGGGTCTGAAAGGGCTCGGCAGCCTTGCGCTGTCACCCGCCAAGCTCGCACAGCACAGCGCTCAGTCTTCAGAATTGATTTGGATACGTCACCGCATATGAGCCTCCACGAGCCTCGCGTGCAGATCTGCATGTATCAATCTACGTGAACCTTGCCTATGGACGTGGATTCAGGTTTGGAGGTTTGTTTTTTGTCGGCGTGTTTCTCATCTCTCTCGTCAGGAGCCAAGCGGTCAGAGCGGATGAGAGTAGACTTTGTGTTGTGACATGCCAAACGTCCGCCCGTAGATGGGTAGCTATGCTGGGCGGATTACACACACACAACAGGGATGCCGCACGTGGCCTGAGTCCTTCTCGTTCCTCCCGGTGATGGTCATTGCACCGCAGAAATTTGCGTTGCTCTTCGCCTTCGGGTCCATGACCATGCGCCTTGGAATGAAAAATTGGGGTTGACTTGTTTCGTAGTGGTTGCCACCAGTTGCCATCTTTTGGCAAGGGAAGTGCTTCAAAAAGTGATCAGCCAGTCCTGTTGGCAGGCTTGGATCCTTTATGCTTTTGAAGGGCCCACAGGTGGGCGACCAAGTCTCAAAGGCATGCTGTGTACTTGTTGACGGCTCTCCACAGATGTGAAGCGCATACGACATGCCCTGGCGAGCTTGGAGTACTCTTGCGAGTGACAACCTCTGAGCCGAGGCCTTCCTGTCTGGTATGGCTCGCAGAGAGCAGCTTCCGTTCTCCATCGCTTATGGAGTCGGCCTGGCCTGAGCCCGAGCTGCCGTCCCGTGATGTGTGACGTGACCTCGCTTGTCTTCTACTAAACGGCATGGTTCGGAGACAGCATAGGGCACAGGGCTGATAGTTTCTAGGATGTACGTCAGATGACAAGCAAAGCTGAGGTGGGAACATTGATAGCAACGATCATTTTGCGAAGCTTTATCCTCACCGGCATCTGTGGGCTCCTGCAAGCCAGGAACTGAGAACACAACTCTGCACAGACTTGCGTACTCGGACTTTTCACTTCGGCTGCGTGTTCAGCAGTCTGGCTTTGGTGTTTTTCGACGAATGCTGAGAGGATCAACTCTCTTGACAAGAACTTGTTGCATCTTTGCACCCTGCTGGCTTCACAGAACTTCGCAGGCGTCCTCAGGCATTCCGAGACAAGGCTCTCATATAGCTCTTGCCTTGTCAGACTCGGTTTGTTCTAAGGCAAACGCCGTCACGCGTTTCGAAGTACTCACGAACTTGTCTTGAGCCGCCTGTAAGAGCGCGGGAGAGACCAGTCTTGGTGGCCTAGGCTGTGGGCCTGCTCTACTTTGTGGCCTCCTACGTGCCGGGTGGAAAGGTCAGCAAAAGAAAGGGAGAGGGAAGGAAAACAGAGAGAAGCCACGAGAAGTCAAAAGACTTGTCACCCTTAGGGGCCCTGGATTTCCGACCTTTCCCTCACTTTGCTGCCTTTCAGCGTTCTCGGGTCTTGCGACTCATGATCCAAAACCTGAACGCTGAGCTCAAGGGAGACACAGCGGGATGTACAAGCACACTTCTCGTGGGACTTGGCCAGCAAAGCTGCTGTGGTTCCCTGCCAGGCTTGCGTCAACTTCGTCGGCCGCTTGCGGCAGCCTTGTTGGAGCTCACCCAACTTGTCTCCAAGCTTGATCTCGCGGTTCTGCGCAGCTCTTTGAGGTGCGGGAAGGCTACGCAGGCTCGCGCAGTACTAACAGTGCGCTGACGAGAGCAAGATCTCCATGCTTTCCAAAGGGCACACATCCACGCGGAATCCGTGCCTTGTGGGTTGATGTACGACATGCAATACTCGCAGCACGATTACTGTAGCACGTTCATTCTTGCTGGATTCCGCGTTCAGCGGAGGCCCTGCTGTGTCGCAAGTGAGGCCAGTGCTCCGCAATGACATGCACAGTGTTGCGCTGCTGGTCAGGGACAGTTCCTTTTGGAAGTCACGACTGGGTCCTAAGTCAAGACCCCGATTGCGTTGCATGTCTCATGAAGGAGTCGTCTATGTTGTTGCTTTTTTGGCCCGAGACTATTGCAGACAATTACAGATGCCATAGTGCCATAGACCTGGACCGAGAGTTGTATGAGGACATGCGGCTCTCTTCGCCGTTGCTAGGGCGAAAATCCTACGAGTCTTGTTAGCAACTGGAAAACGCTTCAGGTTTTGGTTTCAGCCCTACTTGAGCTCTGCAACGCCTGGAAAGTGTGCAAGCAAACCCCGACCAAGCAGGTGCGACGTGCCGTCACTTGGTAACAGCCTTTGTTTTCCGTCTTTTTTGTTGCAGCCTCTCCGTTCCCCCGAGCTGCGTTTCCGCGACACAGAGGCCGCTTACCGTTTCCTTGTCTTGCGCTTGAAGTATGAACGGCTACGGATAGAACCAGCTACTACGGAACTTCGTGGAGATTTATCCTGAAGACTGGAGCCCAGCAAGGGGTTTGACAGCGCAGACATTGCAGATGTTGTCACAAAATTGACGGTGCAAATGTTCGTCCACGCAGAATAACCCTGGCACTTCAATGTCAAAGTTGCTGCATCTGTTGCCTAGCCGAGGTCAATGGTTGGACTCGACCTGTGCTTCGAGGAGTGCTTCACGGCCTGATTGCACTGCTGTCGAAAGCTCAGCTTCCTAAGTTTCCAGCTACACAACATACAACTCTGAAGTCTGTGACTTTCAGCACCTTTCAACTCGAGCGCTGTTCTCCGACAACACAGTTGCTGTTCCTCTTGCCGGTTGTTTTGTGCTCAATTGCTTACCACACCCCCCAGCTGAGCCATCGCTCCATGTAACCTTCAGAATGACGTTGTGAACTTCTTGCAAAAGTTGCAACCTTCTGGTTGCGCCCTGAGCAACGACAAAGAGAGGCTTGTGCCCTCCTTCCTGTTCTCGACGCTGGCCGTCTTGGGCGGGCACCAGGGCCATGAAAATACCAGAACTGCTGCAGCTTCATGCCAGATGAACAGCAGGACTCAGTACTGTCACCCGTGTCACTGCGAGGCATTGGCCAGAGACTTGGTGGAAGTTCTCAGCGCTGTTGGGAGCAAAGCTCGTGAGTTTCCTGATCGCAAAAAAGATTTTGGGTCCTGACCGAGCGAAATGTCAAAGATGGCTGAGAGGCTACTTCGCCAGTGCTGTACTTCATCTGTATCCGCATCAATCAGTGTCTGCCTTCAATTTCTGGCTGCGCGCCGGCCTCAATTTCCGGCTGCACAACTATGCTTGGTGCGAGCGCGTATTCCGTGAACGGCAAGTGCAGAGAGGGGCTAGTCCTGGTTCATGTTGGACTCTGCAAGTTCAATGTTGCATGTCTTGCGCCTGTTTCCGCAGGCTGGAAAGGGTATTGACAAGACAATGCAGAAGTGCCCAGCAATGTCGGTAGGTCAGATAGCAATGGCTGCCATGGCCCGAGGCATCGACTTGGTCTCCATCTGCTTCGCTGTTTGGGCACCAACATCCGTGTTCCTCAGCAATGCACCTTGATTGCGGTACCCGTAGGCGAATCTGAGATTCTACCGTTCAGATTGCGAACGTACTTGAACAGGCCAAGATGATCTCAGATGGGGGCAAATGCAGGCTTGTGTGGGGAAAAAAGGTCGTTCTTGATCTTGTTGGTCTTTTGTAACCATCTCCACCGAGGTATGGCTGTGGTGGCTGCACTTCAGCGTGGCTTGCGCTGTGGCATATTTGACTTACGCTCCTCTGTAGCAGCTGGACATTTCAGATCAGAAGCTGCTAGTAGCTCGTCAGACATATTGCCACCGAGCATTGAGCTACAGCTGAAAAGCACAAGTGCACATACTGTGTGGCCGGCATGATTCGAGCATGCACATTCACACGGGATGGTGAGTGGCTGCAGTTGCCGATGAGTGGAGTCCAACAGCAGGATCTGTCATTCGTGCCGGAGGGGTCCAGACATTTGTGTGAACTAACACCATTGGTTCGAAGATTGGCAAATCCGATTAGAAGGCTTCAGAGTTCCTGTAGGGGCTAGCTAACTCGAGCTCATGGCAGACGGTCCGACAGCAACTCATGGACAAGCCATCACCGACCTAAACTACCAACGAGCCACGCAAACATTCTTGAACCTGGGTGCAAGCACTGAAAGGAGAAACGTTGGGAAATGGGAAGTAGTCTGCCGTGAAGAGAGTGGGGAGCCATCGGGCCTGGGAATTACTCAGACAATCTCAGACACAAAATTGCCGAACCAGGTGGTAAGGCTTGCGTGACGCGCCATGATAGCAGGTCGCGATGAGGGGCAAGTGACGTGCCACGACATCTGACTTCTGCAACGATTCCCGCAACCATGCGATAGGGGTGTGAGCAGTCGGTTTGAAATAACCGAGGCGTGCAACTTCGGGTTGTTGCTCTGCATGTTTGCTAAGTTAAACCTACTGCTCTTCTTTCAATTTCGGGCATCGCAAAAGAAAGCTGTGAGCCCCACATTTTCGCGCCACAGCAAGATGTGCCAGAGGGACACACAGGTGTCCCGGTGGACTCGCAAACTTCCTCAGGAAGAATTTACACAAGTTGAGTACGTGTTCGTTGTGGGTTTGACACTGCATCCCAGCAAACCCACTAAACCAGAGCAGCATTCACCCACACAGCTGCGTGTTTGGAACTTTCCCGCAACCACAGCGGGAAAGGGAGAAATACAACCGAGGAACTGCTTTAACATCAAACTGACCCAGATGCACTTGTGCCCTTCGTGCTATAAGCAATGTCACGTTGAGTCTTGCAAGACAAGTGCGGACTCGTGCGGTCGGCGCAATCAGAAGCGTGAATCGACTCAATTGCAATGAATGTGCAGCAAGAAGCGTAGGCCCCACCACAACAGCCAAGAGTGCTTTGCCTGGCGGGTGCAATTCCACAGAAGAAACAAGCAACAACACTCTGTATCTCGATGCAAGACAAATTACCTGCCGCCGCGGGGCACAGGTTTGGTTCCACATTTTTCCAAATATCTTGAGCTGATAAATGTGTTTCGAGCACAGGCTCATGTGAAGCTGCACAGAGTTTAAAGTCTGGCGCTGTGTGGCCCCAGTGTCAGGCCTTGATTGACTCGGATTTGGCCCATGAATCCGAAGCTGCCCTACAGACCTTGGACCGGATGCGACCTTAGCAGTCGCCACATCACTCAATGCGAGACAGGTGGCAACATGTAGCAACTTGTTGTGTCGGCTGAAGCCCCGAGGAAGCGTCAGATTCGCACTGCCGTCAACACACTATTCTTCCTGTGGTGTTTGCTGTTCACTGGTGTTGGATCCAGCTTCCGCGGATTCTGGATAACGGGAGCTGCTTTCTACAGCCTCAGCCTATTTATTGCACCCCCCTTTTCGCGGAGATATCCAGCAATGCGATGGCACAGTGCTGGGCTCAATGGATGGCACGAAGACTTTCATGCGGCTGTGGCTTTTGCCGATGCAGCCATGGTCTGGATGGCTTACAGCTTCTTGGTGGAGGCACATTGCCGATGCTCTGTGGCATAGGAGTTCATTGCATAGAGAGAGAAGGAGGGAAAGAGAAAGAACACGAGTCTCAACCGTGTCTGGAGCACGCATGGACATGCTGTGACGGCACGCACTCCTTAAAGAGGCATCTTGATTGGGCTCCCCGGGCACCTCCACGTGGCTATGGCGTGCCCGCAGACGGAGTGTCCTGATCGTGGCTGGTGCTGCCGTCTCGTCAGCGACGTTTCGCAATCAGTGACATCACCATACCAGGCTCTGCTAGAACGATGTAGCCCAACTGTAGCCCACCAGGCACGAGCATATCTTGAACTTCGCGCAAGTACTGCCGGAGCTGTCGCTTTTTTGTCCCCAAGGAGATCCCTCCCACAAAGTTACCGGCTCCGGCCCCGGAAATGTTTAGACTTTTTCAGCATCTACGAACCTACCGTGTTTAACTCAGTTTGTCCTCGGCAACTACGAAGGTGGTTGCAGATGTGTACAGGCAATCATTTGATAGCTTACTTGCCAGAGCCATTGATGGCTAGTCACCTCCACATTAGGGCAGCGCAGTTGGCCAGCAGGTGCACCCCGCCTTGGCGATTCATATTACAATATGACAACATGATGACTACACAGACTACACTGTGACTACACAGACTACACATGCTTTCCTTTAGCCACTGTCCGGAAGTCGTTGGCAAGTGCTGACTGTGCTGCGTGCAGCAGTTTGACATCAGGTGCCAGTGTGCTGGAAGCACTTCGCTTCGTTAGTTCTTCCGTACGGCACACCACGTGCAGAGCTGACTGATTGACGATAACAGAAAGTTGAGCATGCATATACAGCCTGTTCTTGCATGACTCTGAGCTCGCACGTGCAGCGACATGCCTTCGGGGCCAAGCCTGACAAGTTGAAGAAGCTGCCCGAAAGACAACGCGCATGTGGGAAAATGACGTTTGGCGAAGCCGTCGAATGAACGTGGGGTCGATCGGTGACTGGACATCAACTGCACAGTATAGCTTTCGCGTGCATCGGTTCATGCACAGCCCCATGTACCTATGTGCAACTATGTTTTTCAGTGTTTCGCTGGATCAACGCTCACTGCCCCAGGCGTGTCGAACTGACGACATCTGATGTGCATAGAAACGAAAAGGAGTCGAGTCTGTGCAGGCTACGCGACGTATCGGTCGCAGCAGCTTCACTAGCTGAAGATTTTCGACTGCTAAATACTGCAGCAATCAACGAATCAGCTGTGGGATCAACTCTCGCTTTTTTGTGGCCTCATTCTGAGAAGCACGCATCTGAGCACTTACGCATCACTATGCCTCAGCATTCTCACGAAAGTTTGTACGTTGATAAGAGCAGACAAGCCGAGAGTAGAGCGAAAATGGGCAAAGTAGATTCACTGATTCGTAGGTCGAAAGAAGCCGAAGCGTCGTGCACTCAATTCAGCTCCACAGCCTACATGGCGGAGACGGTTCAGACGTCTTCATGAAGAGCAAGCTTAAAGCTTGCGAGTCTTCAAGGCACAACAAAACAAGTGCTTGTGCGCAGTGACATCTGCACAAACCCCTAGTGCCTCAACAACCTTGCAACTTGCAGCGTCTCAGCACCCTGCAGCGCCTGTGCTTTGAGGTTCCACGTGTTGATCTCTTCTTCATTCCTTGCTATTCTTAGTCGGTTTGGCTTGCAGTATCCAATGCGGTTGAAGCTAGCACGCCGCTACTTGTAGTCTGGTCTTCTGAAGATAGAGTCATCCGGAGTCATCCGCTTGCTTCACCCTGTCATACACGTAAGGTGCATCTCGATTGCTTGCCATGAATGGCGTGGCCTTTCTGACGCCAGTGACGCCAGTGGGCGGCAGTGTTACCTTGCGGGGCCATGCACTGAAGGCTACTGCGGCATGTGGCCCTGCCAGGTTTCAATATCCGTCAAGCCACCACATGAGGAGTTGGTCATGGCATGACGGTCGCTGCTGGCATCATGGCCATCGCTCGCTGCAGCTGTCCTACGTCAAAGGCAAAGAAGCTCAAGGCTTCGGTGCCGCGAGCGGCGCTCGTGGAGAGTCCAACGAGTCCAACGAACACGGCGGAGATTATCTACTACGAGTTTGACAAGATCGGTGCGTCTGCAATACTCAAGTACTCAAGGCTGCCCGACTCGCAGTTGAAGACGCTTCCACGATCGTAGGCCTGAGATGCCGAAGGCAAAGCTCGAAGCGTTGCTCTGCGAAAAGTCGGTGCAGACTATGCTGGTTATGGTGTCGCGCCGGCCTTCTCGCATGAGATGGGTGTGGCATTTAAGGCATGACCTTGGCCTCTTGGCGGCTCTGAAGAGGCTGAAGTACTTCTGGAACTTGCCTCAGCGCCAGCTTGTCATCCTCTTAGCGTCTATGGCAAGAGAGTTTGAGGGTCCCAGTGGAGCTGCACACCTTGAGGCTTTCCAGCAGGAGCTTACTGAGACATAGCACTTGCAGGCTGTGAGGAAGATGGTGAGCGAGCTTCCTTCCAATATCAGGACACCTTATGACGAAAACGCCGCCCACCGGCTGGAGTTGGCAGGTCCCCACGCAGTCTATCCCACCTCACTCTACCGGCAGAGCGATGCTTTAACTTTGGCAACGAAAAATGCCTCCACAATTGAGGCTGTGATGGGCACCACACTCACCACGACCATCAAGATCGCACGCAATGTGCTGGATCCTTCCAACCAGCTCCTGTCGAGCGTGTATTGCCCTTGGGACGCTGCATCGCTGTTGTTGACGACAAGGTGGACAAGCTTTTCGGAGCTGAGCTTTGCAAATACTTCGAGGCCCATCAAACAGAGTTCAAGAAGCTTGTGTACAGAGGCAACGAGGTGGACAAGAACATCCGCGATGTCGAGAGGATCCTTGTCGACATGAAAGAGTTGGGCCAGGGGCGGCACGAGCCATTGCTGGTTGTGGGAGGTGGTGTTATTGCAGACATTGCTGGCTTTGCGGCTGCGCTCTACTCTAGGAACACGCCGTACGTGATGCTGTGCACATCGATTGTGAGTGGCATCGATGCTGGCCCATCTCCGCGTGTCTGCTGCAACGGCTTTGACTACAAGAACCGTTATGATGCATACCACCCTCCGGTTCTAACAATAACTGACCGCGGTTTCTGGAAGACGCTGCACCCGGGTTGGTTGCGCCACGGTGTCGCGGAGATCATCAAGATGGGGGTGATGAAGGACATCTCACTTTTTGAGCTCATGGAGAAGTGGGGTGAGAAGTGCATTAGGACCAACTTCGATGCATTGGGTGATTCTGTGCACGATCCCGGTTGCAAGACGTGTGCGACATCATCATAGCGAAAGCCATGGAGGGCTATGTCCGTTCTGAATATGGTAACCTTTGGGAGACGCACCAGTGCCGACCTCACGCTTCATGGACAAGCTGTTGGCACATGCATGGGTTTTGGAGCTTACCTCGCTTACAAGGTCGGCTTCATCAATGAAGCTGAAATGGTGCGCATCCTGAAGGTAATCTCGGACTGCGAGCTTTCCCTCTATGGGCAACGTGGAAATCTCAGGTTGCGATGATTGAGAAGAGGGGTGGCAACTTGTGCGCTCCCATCCCTCTCTCGCTTGGCCAAGCAGGCTACTTGAACGAGATTTCCGAAAACGGGAGTCGAGGAGCACTGCATTGATGTAGGCTTGGAGGACCCACAAGCCAAGAAGATGGCCCAAGAGGTGCCAGAGCCGGGCCAGAGCGCTTCGTTGTAACCCCCACAGACCTCGTTGCCAACAAGCTTGCAGCGGCTACAGCCAGCACTGATCAGGCGACTCAGGAAAAGATTGTGGAGATTGCCAACATCGTCGACGGCATTGATTCCATGGTGACCAAGTACAGCCAGCAGCCAGCAGCCATCTGACGCCCTGAAGAAGATCGGCATCGAGACCGCCAAGACGAATCCGATGTGGGCTGAATTGGAGCAAAAGGGCGAGACCAGCAGACTGATGGAGGCGGAGATGATTTCAGGGCAGGCTGAAGGACAGCTCTTGCAACTGCTGGTCCAGTTTGGCAGTGTCAAGCAGGCGCTGATATTGGCACCTTTACTGGCTACTCCTCGCTAGCTTTGGCTGAGACCCTCCCTGAGGATGGCCGGGTGGTAACCCTGGAGCGCGAGGCGCAAGCTGCAGAGATGGCTTCACGTAATTGGTCCGGTTCGCCCCACGCAAAGAAGATCGAGTCTCGCATAGGCGGAGCCAAAGACTTGCTTCAAGATCTCGCCAGTGAGAATGAGGGCTTCGATCTCATCTTTCTTGATGTGGACAAGCCAGGCTATTTCCCCTTGTACCAGATGCTCACGGACACCGGTCTTTTGAAGGTTGGCGGTCTGCTGGTAGTTGACAACACCATGTATAAGGGTGAGGAGCTTTCCAGCGAGAAGCTCAGCACCCATGGCGAGGGAGCACAGGCTCTGAACGAGGGACTGCTGTCAGATGACCGAGTCCGCCAGGTCATGCTGCCTTTGCGCGATGGCGTGACCCTGGTACACCGCCTGCGTTGCTAAGGCAGCAAAAAGGGCTTTCCCTGCAGATCTGTTCTTGGATCCCGGACGGGCAGCAGGGAGCTCCAGATGTGAGAGCCCGTCGGCCGGAATACCTCAATACACCCCCGATTTTCGAACTTGTCGATCTCTGACCGTGGTTTAGTATGGGTGGTGCTTGATCCAGCAGTCAGAAACGCCGGTGTCAGTGCGTAGAACTGTTTTGGTCAAACAGGGCCCATTCACCCAGCATGCTAACCTACTGATATAGCAGGCGTCGGGTTGCACCACGAAATTTGTGAGGCCTTGTTTCCGCCTCGTAAGTGCGATTCCTCGCTAAGACATGGCCCTACTCTTTAGGAGGCAGGGTCCACACATCCACGGGCTCTTTAGAAGATCTTGTTCATGCAAGGAATACTCGACAAATCTGTGGGGGGAAATACGGTGCTGCTTGCATCGCACCTGAAATCGGGAAGCCCGTTTGGCGCCTCAAGCATAGATGTCGCTTGCCGCCGTGACTGCCGTGACTGCAAGCATGGCCGACGTCGCTGCAGATGTTGCAGTCGCCAGCCAGAGTCCTCAGGACGACTGGCCTTTGTCCCAGACTGAGGCCGAGCATCTGAGGGAGGTCGGGGCCATGTACAAAAGTGTTGGCCTCAGCGATGCACGGTTTCAGGTCGTGCAGCACCGTGGCGTGCTCTACAACTCCTACAAAGCTGCCACCCCCGTGGCTCACGTTGACTTGCGAATGCGGGATGATTGTGCCGTCGGCTTCTTCGGCAACGAGGCCAGAAGCCTCACCGTGGCGCTTCGCAACTACAAGCTCACGCATGTGGTTGACCGGCCCGCCGAACTGCACAGCGCCGCAGCGTTGACAGTGAACGAGTTCCATCACTTTGCACACAAGCTTGGGATGACGATGCAGCCAAGCGATGAGCTCGGAACCGAGCTATTGCAGCGTGTAGAACTCGTTGACGCCTTCGTCATGCATTGCAAGCACAGCATGCGAAACTACAAGACTTTCATGTCGACAATGACGAAAGTGCAGAAACGGCTGACGCAGATGTTGAGTCTAGGATGATCTTAAGAGAGCGTTTTTGCTACTGATTGCCTTGAGTCCAAAAGTGCAGAAGATACACTTGGAGCTGCAGAGACAAAGCGCTGAGCTGCTCTTCGCCCAAAAAGCCCCCAACCAACGCCCTCCCTCCTCCGACCCCATTTGCCACCAGACTGCCTCAAGGAAGATGTGGCCAGCTTTGAAGGTGCAGCAGAAGACTCAAGAAAGGATCCGGTCGGTCAAGGTGGCTTCGATTGGATTCAAAGGGTTGACACTTTGGGGGCTCTGTTGTGCTTTGGGGTTTGGGGGGCAGTGTTCTGAGGGCCAATGGATCGAAGGAAGTTTGAGGCGTTGGGCGGTTTCCGGTTTCGAGGCGTTGGTGTTGGTGAGTGCGTGCGCGTGCGCGTGTGCGTGCGCGCGCGTGTGCGTGCGCGCGCGTGTGCTCCTGTGCGCGTTCGCGCGTTCGGGCGTGTGCGCGCGGCTCGTGCGTGCGGGCACGTGCGCGCGTGCGCGTGCGCGTGCGCGCGTGGGTGTGGGTGTGGGAGTGAGTCCCGGTGTCGGTGTGGGTGTGGGTGTGGGTCCCGGTGTGGGTGTGGGTGTGGGTGTGGGTGTGAGTCCCGGTGTGGGTGTGGGTGTGGGTGTGGGTGTGGGTGTGGGTGTGGGTGTGGGTGTGGGTGTGGGTGTGGGTGTGGGTGTGGGTCCCGGTGTGGGTGTGGGTGTAGGTTGGGGTGTGGGTGTGGGTGTAGGTAGGTGTAGGTGTAGGTGTAGGTGTAGGTGTAGGTGTAGGTGTAGGTGTAGGTGTAGGTGTAGGTGTAGGTGTAGGTGTAGGTGTAGGTGTAGGTGTAGGTGTAGGTGTAGGTGTGTGTGTGGGTGTGTGTGTGCTTGTGTGTGTGCTTGTGTGTGTGCTTGTGTGTGTGCTTGTGTGTGTGCTTGTGTGTGTGCTTGTGTGTGTGTGTGTGTGCTTGTGTGTGTGCTTGTGTGTGTGCTTGTGTGTGTGCTTGTGTGTGTGCTTGTGTGTGTGCTTGTGTGTGTGCTTGTGTGTGTGCTTGTGTGTGTGCTTGTGTGTGTGCTTGTGTGTGTGCTTGTGTGTGTGCTTGTGTGTGTGT